GAAGTACCTTATTTTTTTTCTATTTACATCTTGAAATAGAAATGTTTTTCTATTTACTCCTTGAAATCAAGAATGATCTTATGAACAGTCAAGGACTTGTTTTTGTGTGCCACTGGAAATTCAGGAACCTCTAAAACAGAACATGGCAGTTACTTAAGAGCATGTCTTAATGCTGAATGAAAGCTAAGAGATGAAGAATTGTATCTTCAGTTGAAATTAATAAGGAGAGCTGGAATGTACAACTGTAAAAGGCATTTGAATTTAGCAAGTCCATTTGAAAACAACATTATGGAATCTTTTCTGAAGACATATGTGGCAAGACCTTGGTTTAATATCTTATCTGAAAATATGTTTCTGGTAATTTGAATGCTAAAATGAAAACTGTAAGATAGAAAGTGCTGTGTTTCTCATCATGCAACTGAATGTATAATGAATAAATGTATGAATTCTTTTTACGATAAACACTTAACGTGACTAATGCTTTGTTTTTGCTCAGATTATTTTAATTTCTCATGGCCTACACTATAGTATTTTTATAAGAATAAGGCTAGCGAAGAGGTACTATCTGCATTAAATGATACATTACTTAGCTGCTTCTCTTTCACAGGAACAGCAGAAATGTTCAAAGAGTGTAGTTACTGAAGAAGAGAGTTTCTATCTGTGGATTTGGAAAGGCAGTGGTCATTTTTTTTCTGTTTGGCAAACCATTAGCAAGATTCTTCTGCCTAGAATGATGTTGTCTGTTGCCATCATTTGTGTAGGTGGGAGCAGGCAACTTGTGCTGTTAACACAAAACTGGGCAAAACCTGAGAGATCTGACAAAGACCTGACACAGCTAAACAAATGATAGCAAAGTGGCAAATGCAGTGTAATGCCGAGAAATAAAAGTCAGCAGTACTGAAAAGAATAATTTGAAGTATTCTTAATTGTTGCTATAATGTAGAATTATTTAACACTAGGCAGAATTAGAAATGTGATATTTAAGTATCCTAGTTACTAGTCTAGTACTAATTTTCTACTTGCCTTATCTTAAAGGATACTGCTATCTACACAAGTATTTACAGAATACAAGGCAATCAAATCTGTCAGTTCTACTATTCTAAGCCATTCATTGCCTATCGTATGTGCATAACTCATAGGAAGGCAATGCTGTGACTTGGTGTCCTTGTCTGCAAAATGCTGATAGCAGTGCTCACCCAAATTACAAACACTCATACTCCAGGAAAATAATTATGTGCTAAGGGAAATTTTAAGACCAATGTATTGGTCATAGGGCAATTCCTATAACACGCGTATCGTCATCCCAAATAAGAGTTTACCTGTAGTAGTTGGTGCAGTGGTTTACGTCCCTGTTCATCCACTTTCTTTTACTTAAAAATTCATTGTTGTAAACAGAAAGAGCCCCCATCCGGCCAAAGACTCACGGTCATCCTACATTCAGAAGCATCTCTGTATTAAAATGCGTATGTAGCAGATAATCTAAGCACACCAAGAGCTGGGTCTCCTGCTGTCTCTTTGGCACACAGGGAGGACAACAAGAGGCAGAACTCCAGGTGTGGCTGACTGAGCTTGGACTTCCTTCTGCTGGTTTGACACATCCTTAGCCAAATAAAATATCTTTGGCACATCCACAGATGCGAGAATCTGATTGTTTTTCACTGCAATTGATAGTGTATAAAACAAAGAGTAAGACAGACTATTTGTTTAGAAGAAATATAAGCAGAATTTACAAATGGAAGAAAGAAGCCGCTGACCTATATTTCAGGGACTGGAACATGTCTGTAGTGCAGATGAAAAGCCCATTCCAACTCCCCTTTAAATTGTACACCATCCAAATCTATTTGTCATGAGGCAGTTACCTGCTTACAGCTGAAAAAGTGCTTTGATATATTTTTTATGAATCTATCTTCTCCAGTGCTAACATAACTGATCGCAACACAACCTTGCATTAATTATTGTACTTCTGTCTACAGAATGATGTCCTATGAAACAGGGAAGCTGAAAAAAAAAGACATATTCATTTTACACAAAAAAAGCCAGATAACAAAAGGCTTAAGGAAGAATTTTTCTTTTCTTTCATAATAGCGTAAAGGACAATCAGACAATTAAGAAAAAAAGTTATTAAATATCTTTGGAAAATAAACCACTTTTTCTCTGTTTAAGTGAGATATTCAGTAAAGAAGGAAAGAATTAATAATAAAAAAGACTAGATGCCATTCAGAAGCCAGTTGGTGCTCCATTTGTTTTTTTCCCACCCTAGAAAACAGTAAAGTCAGTAATAATTGAAGCCAAGTAGTATAATTTTCAAGCAGAAATTTTCATCCATTTTCACTTTTATTTTTAATCTTTGTAGGAAACAAAATTCTTAAAGAAGTCCATATTCTATACAGGAAAAAAAAAGATAATAATTCCCTTTAAAAATTGAGTTTTACCAGTTTTTATCATTTTATCTAATTTTTCTCTTTGGTATCTACAAAACGCTCATTCAAACAACGTAGTCTATGTTTGAATCATAGCTGTATCTCACAGTAATATCAATGAACTTCATCCACAATTTTTTCTTATAATACCCTATCTTTCTGCTACATTTTACCTAAACCAGAAGTTGAGACCTTATGCTTTGCCTCACAAAAATAACCAAAAAAATAATGCTGAACTTAATATAAGAAATACAGTTACTGTCTGATTTATTGTCTAATATCTGATGATTATTCTCGTCTCTTTTTTCTACCTCATCTTAATGCTTTACTGAAATGGCAGCTGGAGTTTGACCTTCTAATAAATATCAGTCCTTAGAGCTTAGCAGCTACCAATTAACTTTAAAGGGAGCATTATATTAATATTATAAATTAATTAAGTGAAATACAATGTAATGTACTCAAACACTGTAAACAGTGTACGTATACCAGGCAGCATTTGTAATAAGGTGAATAATTTTTAAAGAGAGATTAGACAGTGAGTTTGTTATTGCTCCTGATTAAAGCTTTCCTGCTTTGTTTTATGCACACTCAGATGTTATTTCAGTGGAAATCTTCACTTCTTTTCCTCTCTGTCCACAGGTAAATAGCATGTTTCTCTTGGATCTCTGGGCTTCTGTTTCCTTAATGTGACCATAATGTGTACAGTGTCATGTAGCCACTTGGTAGTCCCTTTTGAAATCCTTTAGGAGGTATACAAAGACTCCTGGGTTTCTGCTTAATGTTACAGCTACTAACAAAACAAAAATACGTTTACTGCGTCCAACATACATACATAACCAACTGTTGATCTCTAGGAGGTTGTTTGTTTCCAGGTTAACGCCTGTGCCCCACAGTGTTTTACAGAGTACAATAAAGATATTTGTCCACGTAATTCCTCACTTTCCATTACCTCCTGAGATAAAATCCCTCTTTAAAAGTATTAATTGTAGACCAGAACTAAATGGAACAGTTCTTCCACTCTTAGCCTGTCTTCTTGGCCCATATGGCATGAGGTGGGAAACATGGTTTTCAATTTATGCATCTTCTTTTATTTCTTGCTCTGGAGAAATTCATTGTGCTAGTATTCCAGGAGAGCAGTGAATACGCGGGGCAAATGGAAAGACTGTGCCTCTCAAAAGGCTGGCTGTATTTGAGCATGAAGAAGCAGAAAGGTCATATAATGGGTGCTGCAATCTGATCTCTGGTATGAGAGTGTAAGCTCACGATAACAATTCTCTTGATAAATGTGGGGTTTAGGACTTCTTAAATGAATGTCATAAGAAAACTAGGCGTTAAATCTCCCATCTATTTTCCATTCAAATAAAGGCTGAGAATACCTCCGCTTATAACACCCCAACTGAGGATATTTTTAAGCTTTTCTAAATTATCTGCACTATCCTGCTTTTTGCACTTATGCAGAGAGAGAATATTACAAAAGAAAGTCATATCTCTTTCCTGTTTCACTTCTACCTTTCTTGGGGCAAAAGCAAATACTACTAGTAAAAATCATCTTCCAAATACAATTGCCTAGAAAAACATTTAGATTCATGTATTTGGTCAATGCTCAACAGAATGTGATTCGCTACCACCAACAGAAGACGTTAGCATATACTAAGAATGAAAATGAGCAGTGATTCTGGCAGATCTTTGTGAAATGTTTTAAGGTCAGTAGTTTGAGAAAACAAAATAAATGAGAAAAACACAATGGATTTGTACACTCAATGTTATCTTCACGAAGTAGAAGGATTATAAACATAGCCTTGCTTCAGCTTTTGATAGTTAAAACTTTACTGAATAGAGTGGCAGGATATCGGGGTACACCTGAAGTAGCTCAGTAGGGTATTAGATGTAGATGTCTTATATCTACTTACTGAAAGCTGTGACTTATATTCAGAGGCCAGTGGGTCTTTTAGTTTTAGCTAAGTCTGAACTCCTAATTAATTTCCTTAGCAAACAAGATAGGATTTATCTAGATTCCAGCTTCATTTTTATCCAAGCTGAATTTAAGCATGCAAATATCTCTCTGTTTTAACTGTTTTAAAGGTACTGCCTTAAAACTTAAGTTGGTCTAAGTGGAGAGAGAAATAGGACCACAGCATATTGGCCTTAGAATGTCCAGCTGCAGAACCAAGAGTGCAAGCTAAATTTGTGCAAGTCATATGTTAATTACGTATGCATGAATGTAATGCAAACGGGCACCCACCTGCATGGCAATATTTTAATAATACTTCATATCATTAATAGAATCTATATGAAGAAAATACTGTGTTTAATTTTATGTTTTTTCATATTTTTATTTTAATTTTTAGTTAAAAGACAAAAATTCTACTGCACACATCATTGCCATGCCATAATCGATTACTTAAACTGTAAGTAGCTTAATTCACTCTATATAGCTCCTCTTTGGCACAGAGTTTCTTGTTCAGCAATCCCTAGAAAGACATCTATTGACTGAAACATATGTTGGTTGGCGTTCCCTGTCTTTCTCAGCAAGGCAATGTATCATACACTGAATTAAGCCTCTGGGTCATCCTAATATCAATGGGATTAGGTATTTGTTTAAAGCAAGGTATGTGTCTATGTAATTTGCTGAACTGAGATCTAGAAGTATCAGGAGAGTCATGGAAACTACTGTATGTGATTATGCCATTAATGATAGCCTGTCACTGGCTGCACAAGAGTGGGCTGAGTTAAGGCCATCCAGACTACTTCATTTCTGAATGGTTTAATTTTTCCTTTGTGTAGGTGGAAACCAGGTTTCTACATGCTTTTATAAAGTGTCGTATGATGTAAGATATGATATACTTGCAATATAATCTCGTATTATAATCTTAGTATTATCTCAATAGTTATGGAGAGCCTGGTTTGAGGATCTCTGTCAGCCAGAGCTTGCAGGATTGAGTCTTTGTATAGGGCTAGCCATATGGTCATGATGATTAATGGCACTTCTCAGATGCATTAAATGCACTTGTCTTGTCTTCATACCTCAATGCACAGCCAAAGCATAACATCAGTCAACAAAACCACTCAGACTGCTATGTATTATGGTTTAATTAAACTGATAATTTCCAACACTATTTCAAGTACAAACACGTCCTGGTATCTAAGCTCTATTTAACTTCAGAAAGAAAGTACAAATGTTGAGAGGGGAATGAAACTGAAATGTGAGGAAAACAGCTTAAGCAAATAGTAGTTTTTTGTTTTTCTCTTTCCAAATTTAGCTTGACAATGTTATGAGCTAAAGCAACGGTCCACCAAACACAGTTTTTCCCTCCTCCACCCCCAGTCATGATGAATGTGAGGACAGCGATTACAGAATTTATTTTAAAAAATCCATTTGCATAGTCTCCAGAGATATACAGAGGTCTAATTAATTGCTTTGACATATCTGAGCCCAAAGACTCCTTCAGCCACAGGGAGACTTTCCTGATAATTTAGACAATCTTTAACTTGAAATTATTTTCTAGAAAAGCGTGTGGAAGAGTGATTGTGGTAAGTAAACACTACTCTGCTGCATAGCACCAGCAGAACACCTCTGAAGATTTGTGACTTAAACACCACCTGTGGTCTGTACTATCCATTTAAAAAGAGACAAATTTACTTCTTTAATATTTTGTAGCTGTATGATAGAAAAGACTAGATGACTCCCTGTTGCTAACACCTTGCAGTGATGGTAGGATTTCAAAAACTGTATATTTCAATTGAAAGAAATCAAAGTTAGGTCAGACTGGAGAGCTTTTGAAAAGCCTACTCCAAGCAGAGCTGTTTTATTTTCCATTCTCTGAGCTACTCCTATGTTTAGACATACTGCACTGTGTTTTTCAGAGGATGCCTATAAAACTCAAGTCCGAATTGATGATGAACCAGCCTATTTGGACATTCTAGACACTGCTGGACAGGTGAGTAGCTTCGCAATGTGAACCATTCAATCAGAGATAAAATCAAAGATTTTAACCTCAGATACATGGGTCATAGAGCTAGAAACAAGCTTCCTGTTCAAACACAAAGGGAGCAGTGGCAGAATAACATTGAGGAATTAACACAGGGGAAGATTAAAAAAGTGCTTCAGTGATATTGTTTAACTTTGAAATCTGACTAGAAGAAACATAAATTTAAACGCGTAGAAGATAAAAAGCTGGGGTTTTTTTCTCTTGTGTGTAGACACATCTATCACAATCATGGAATGAATAAATGCTGTCTTTGGTTTGTCTTACATGTTTATTGTTCCTGCTTTTCTATGGATTACAGGAATCTTCAGGTCTACTTGTAGATCAAGTGTTTTGTTACCATTCTTATCTTCTCCACATTATAATAAAACATCAAATTTACGACCATAAGGAAAAGATCTTAATGCCAAAAGTAAGAAACAGTGGATGTATAATATGCATATGCATGTGTGAGCATCAGTCAGGGAATTAAGTTTCACAGAATCATAGAATCATGGAATGGTTTGGGTTGGAAGGGACCTCAAAGATCATCTAGTTCCAACCCCCCCCCCCCGCCATGGGTGGGGACACCCTCCACTAAAGCAGGTTGCCCAAAACCTCATCCAACCTGGCATTGAACACTTCCAGGGATGGGCATCTACAACTTCTCTGGGCAAACTATTCCAGTACCTCACCACCCTCTGAGTGAAAAATTTCTTCCTTATATCTAACCTAAATCTGCCCTCTTTCAGTTTAAAGCCATTGCCCCTTGTTCTGTCACTACACGCCCTTGTAAAAAAGGGCTTTCCTGTAGGCCCCCTTTAAATACTGGAAGGCTGCAATACGATCACCCCAGAGCCTTCTCTTCTCCAGGCTGAACAGCCCCAACTCTCTCAGCCTGTCTTCATAGCAGAGGTGCTCCAGCCCTCGGATCATCTTCGTGGCCCTCCTCTGAACTCGCTCCAGTAGCTCCATGTCCTTCTTGTGTTGGGGACTCCAGAGCTGAACACAGTATTCCAGGTGGGCTCTCACGAAGCAGAGTAAAAGGGCAGAATCACCTCCCTCGACCTTCTGGCCACGCTTCTTTTGATACAGCCCAGGATATGGTTGGCTTTCTGGGCTGCCAGCGCACATTGCCGGCTCATGGCGAGATTCTCATTCATCAACACTCCCAAGCCCTTTTCTTCCAGGCTACTCTCAATCCATTCTCCACCCAGCCTGTATTTGTGTTTGGGATTGCCCCGACCCACATGCAGGACCTTGCACTTGGCCTTGTTGAACTTCATGAGGTTCTCACAGGCCCACCTCTCCAGCCTGTCAAGGTCCCTCTGGATGGCATCCCTTCCCTCCAGCGTGTCCACAACACCACACAACTTGGTGTCATCTGCAAACTTGTTGAGGGTGCACTCGTTCCCACTGTCCGTGTCACCAACAAAGATGTTAAACAGCACCGGCCCCAGTACTGACCCCTGATGAACACCACTTGTCACTGGCCTCCACTTGGACATTGAACTGTTGATCACAACTCTTTGAGTGCAACCATCCAGCCAATTGCTTACCGACCGAGTGGTCCATCCATCAAATCCATGTCTCTCCAGTTTAGAGAAAAGGATGTTGTGTGGGACAGTATTAAATGATTTGGACAAGTCCACGTAGGTGATGTCAGTTACTCTTCCCTTATCCACCAATGTTGTAACCTCATCATAGAAGGCCATCAAATTAGTCAGGCAGGATTTGCCCTTAGCGAAACCATGTTGGCTGTCACCAATCACCCCCTGTGCCCTAGCATAGTTTCCAGAAGGATCTACTCCATGATCTTGCAGGGCACAGAGGTGAGTTCCCTGGGTCTTCCTTTTTTCTCCTTTTAAAAATGGGGGCTACGTTTCCCCTTCTCCAGTCATTGGGAACTTCACCAGACTGCCATGACTTCTGAAATATAATGGATAATGGCTTAGCAACTTTATCCGCCAGTTCCCTCAGGACCCGCAGATGCACCTCATCAGGTCCCACGGACTTCTGCACCTTCAGGTTCCTTAGATAGTCTCAGACCTGATCTTCTCCTACAGTGGGCAGTTCTTCATTCTCCCAGTCCCCGTCTTTGCCTTCTATGACTTGGTCATGCAGCTGGAGCTCTTGCCAGTGAAGACTGAGGCAAAGAAGTCATTGAGCACCTTGGCCTTCTCCATATCCCAGTTAGCCAGGTCTCCCATTTCCTTCTGTCATGGTTTAGCCCAGTCGGTGGCTCAGGCACCATACAGCCGCTCTCTCACTCCTTCCCTCAGTGAGATGGAGAGGAGAAAAATGTAATAAAAGGACAGAGGGTCAAGATAAGAACAGTGAAGGAGCACCCACCGACCATGGTCCTGGGCAAAACAGACTTGGCTTAGGAATAAAGCAAAACAATTTATTAACAGTTACTTGAAAGGATAGAGAGAAAGCAAAACCAGATCTTAAAAACAACACCTCCTCCTCCTTCTCGTTTCCTTTTCTTCTCAGCTCTACCTCCTCCCCCAGTGGTGCAGGGGGACAGGGAATGGGGGAGTGCACGTCAGTTCATCCCATGTTATTACTGTCGCTCCTTTTCTTAAAGGAGGAAGACTCCATACACCCTTTTTCCTTGCTCCAGTGGATGCCCTACTCAAGGAACAGTCCACAGACCTCCAACGTGAGTCCAGCCTGCAGGATGCAATCCTTACCCATCAGATCACTCCAGCAAGGGCTTTTACCACAGTCACTGATTCTTAGGGAGCTGCCACTTGCTCCGGCATGGGTTGTCCCACAGACTTTAGATGCGTTTCTACCTTATCGTGCATCCTATTCTCCATGATCATCCTCAGGCTCAGGCATCACTTCTCTAACGTGGGCTTCTCCATGGGCTGCGAGTGGGTCTCTGCCCCATTGAGTGTGTCATGGCTGCAGAGGGGTCGCTGCTGTCTCACAACGGGCTGAGGGGAATCTCAGCTCTGGCACCTCCTCCCGTTCCTTCCGCACTGTCCTGGTATTTGCGTGGCTGTTTCTCAGATCTCAGTCTTCCCTGGCTGAACCACCTGGATTGCCTATGCCCTGTTGTGTTGTCCCTCCAACATTGGGGTAGTGAAAGTCCCCCATGATGACCAGAGCTCGTGAATGTGAGGTTGCTTCTATCTGTCTATAGAACGCCTCATCCACTCGGTCTTCCTGGTGAGATGGCCTGTAGCAGACCCCCAGTACTATCTCCCCTGTCCTTGACCTCCCTTTAACCCTGACCCATAGGCTTTGCGTTAGCTCCTCATCCGTCCCCAGGTGCAGCTCCATGCACTCCAGCTGGTCTTTGACATAGAAACCAACATCTCCTCATAGTCTCCCCTGCCTATCCTTCCTAAAGAGCCTGTACCCTTCTATTCTGACACTCCAGTCATAGGATTCATCTCACCACGTCTCTGTGATGCCAATAAGATCATATTCCTGCAGGCGTGCGCACAGTGCTAATGCCTCTTGCTTGTTCCCCATGCTGCGTGCATTTGCACTGAGGCAATTAATTTGCATCCCAGATGAATGTGACTTACTGGCTGGAGCATCTGGAATTCCTTTTTTCTGCTCTTCAGGTGCTTTCTGCATGTCTTGATCAAGCTTGATATTAACCCCCTCCCCTTTTAAATCTAGTTTAAAGCCCTGTCAATGAGCTCTGCTAGCTGTTGTGCAAAGACACTCGTTCTCCTTTGAGAAAGGCAAATGCCATCTGGTGCCAGCAAGCCTGGGGCCGTGTGGGCCATTCCATTGTCGAAGAAGCCAAAATTGCGGTGATGACACCAGTCACATGGAGCAATGTATTAACAGACTGGACACAGCTGTTTCTTCCAGTGTCACTGCTCGAAAATGGAAGGATAGAAGAAAAGATAACTGGTTCCCCAGATCCCCTTACCAGCTTTCCCAGGGCCTTGAAGTCTCTCTTGATTTCCCTTGGGCTTTGCGTTGCTTCTTCATAGCCACCCACGTGGAAGAGCAATAATGAGTAGTAGTCCATACCAGGCTAGGAATTTTCTAGCAATGTCCTTAACCCAGGCTCCAGGGAGGCAGCAGACTTCCCTCAGAGCAGGGTGAGCCTGGCATATTGGTCCTTCTGTTCCCCTCAGATGGGAGTCATTTATAACTATTAGCTGTCTTTTCTTCATGGAGGCATTCATGATACAGGGGGCAGTCCTTTCTAACCATGGTAACACCTCCAGTGTAGATGGAGAATCAGCTACATCATCCATCGATGGGCCTTCCATCTCCAGAGCTTCATACCTGTTGTGCAGAGGCACTGGGGAAGGTGAGGTGGGCAAGGAGGGGTGTCGCCTGTCACCCTGAGCATGGACTTGCTTCCATTCAAAATGCAAGTTCCTTCACCTGGGTCGGGCCAATCCTAGGCACAAATAGAAACTGGGCACAGAGTGGGTTGAGAGTAGGCCTGAAGAGAAGGATTTGGGGGTGTTTATAGATGAGAAGCTCAACAGGAGCCAGCAGTGCACTCATGCAGCCCAGAAGACCAACCGCATCCTGGGATGTATCAAGAGAAGCATGGTCAGCAGGTCAAGAGAGGTGATTCTCCCCCTTTACTCTGCTCTTGTGACACCCCACCTCGAATGCTGTGTCCAGTTCTGGTGTCCTCACCATAAGAGAGACATAGATCTGTTGGAGTGTGTTCAGAGGAGGACCACAAATATGAACCAGGGGCTGGAGCACCTCTGCTACGAGGACAGGTTGTGGGAGCTGGGATTGTTCAGCCTTGAAAAGATAAGACTGTGGGGGGACCTAATAGCTGCCTTCCAGTACCTGAAGGGAACCTACAGGAAGGCTGGGGAGGGACTTTTTACAAGAGTGTCCACTGATAGGACAAGGGGAAATGGGTTAAGTTGAAGGAGAACAGGTTTAGATTAGATCTTAGGAAGAAATTTTTCAGTATGAGGGTGGTAAGACTTTGGAATAAATTTCCCAGAGAAGTTGTGGATGCC